ACATGCCCCCTTTCCCCGCGGCGCCCCTTCCCCCCGCCCCGCGCAAAGAGCGCAGTGTCGCGTCGAACCTCTCGCAGAGCGCGTCGCACGTCCGAGTACCGGCCGCCGCCCGTCATCAGTAGTCGCCGTACCGCGCAGCCACGTAACCTCTCACCTTCTCCTTAGTTTTTAGTAGTCGGTAGTGTGAGGAGAGTGCGGAGAGAGAAAGGGAGCGAGAGAGAAGGAGAAAGTAATCGGCGAAGGCAGACAAGGGAAGAGAGTAATATACCGGAGTCAAAGAGAGCGAGCGAGAGGTCGACAGCCTTTTTCCCTCGTGTACTCTATTAGTCGTCATCGTCATCGTCCTCATACTCGTCCTCCTCGTCGTTGTCGTCGTCATCCTTACCGTCGTCGTCGTTGTCGTCGTCGTTGTCATCGTCGTTATCCGGCGCGGCAAGCGCGGGTATCCTGGCCTTCAACCCGTTCTCGCGCACCTCCTTCGGCCGTCAATAACGTGCTCTCGTCGTAGTGCCGCGGGATTATCAGCGAACACACTACCCTCTGTGATCAAAAAGGTGCAGAGAGAGAAAGAGGAAGAGAAAGAGAGAGAGAGAGAAAGAGATAGTTGCAAGAGAAAGCTCCGAAACGCAAACGGAGAGTAACCGGCACTCCGAAGGAGTTTCTGGAGTGCAGTCTCGTGCGCCGCGTCGTGACAGCACCCCCTCGTGTGTCACGACCATCCACAGTAAAACAACGCTCGCCGCTGCAGTCGGCGAGAGGAACACCGTCCGCGACAGCATCATCGCACTTACACACCTGCAGCGAGTCGACACCACCACTGTACTCTGAACGGGTTAACGCGACTCGCCGACTCACTTCCACCCCACGAGCACGCGAGAGATTCGCGACGACGACGACAACGAGTAATTGTGCGCCGCGCGTTGTTATGGAGTCCCAGAATCAGGAGATCGTAGCGAGCGGTTCGCCTGGCGAGGTGCCGAACGATCCAGGGTACGGAGAAAAGAGGGAAAAAAACGAGGGTTGCGGAGAGGTTGTCACCGTCCACCACGTGAACGGCTGCCTCCGTTTACAACCCCCCAGGCAACCCCCGAAACGTTCCACTACATCGACCATCAACGATCGACCACGCGAGAGAGAGAGAGAGAGAGAGGGAAAGAGTAAAACTGAGAGAGAAAGAGAGAGAGAGAAAGACAGCGAGTGCATGAGCGCAGGATGTGTGTTTGACTGGATGTGTGTATGCCTGGATGTGTGTTCGAGATTGTGAAAGGAGAAAGAGGGTAAAAGAGGGAGGGAGAGAAAATGGTGCGCTTTTGTTTCTCACAGTGCGTTGATATGTTACCACCGCGCGTTGTTCGTTCATCCTTGTGTTTTTGTTATCCTGATCCCGTGTCAGTGCTCCGGTTTTAATATCAATCGCGCACCCCAAACGGAGACGGGTATTTGACAATTGGATCGCCTCCCGTGGATGACGTGGAATACGCATGGTGTTTATGTTTGCCGGGCGCGTGAATATGCGTACCTCTCCTCGGACTGGTGGCGCCTTCTTTCAGCATTTGGTACTCCTCCCGCGCCGACACGGGGGCGGCTGCGGGGGTGGGGAAGAGGAATGAATGGAAAGAAGGAGGGAGGGAGAGGAGATTTGCCGCGCCACCTTCGAATCTGCCGCCAACCGGCATACTTGACAGCCTCGAAAGAACGCGAAATCCTGAAATACCACACGTGAAGATTGCCACCCCTCGCGTATGGCCACGTGGTGGACCAACTGCGGCAAAATCACGCATGATCATGTCACGTGATTGTCCGAAACACTGCGCGACGACCGGGTGTAATACGCCGCGACGTCAAGTGATTTTCAATTTGATTGGGCATTTGAAAATTTCCTCTCGTGTTGCAATTAGTAATTGGATCGGCGCGAACATTAATCGTAACAACGAGAGATTAGTGAAGAACACGACGATGATTTTTTACGTAATTTCGATATGTGATATCAAATGATTTGATTCGACGAATTAATTCGAGTCGCGTTGGAATTAGGTCGATTATTGAATTAATTCGAGTCGCTGGGATTGCCTTTGTTCAAATGTTCTATTTGATATATTCGAGATAGTATATTATAGGTTTATTCCATATCTCGGATTGGGTTGTATGGAGTTGTAGATTATGTCTTCGATTACCTATATATATATATATATATATATATATATATATATATGTGATTAAGCTGCTTGTTGTTTATTCGATCATTTTCATGTGACAGGAGATCATGAGTTTCGAGATTTGCGGAACGTGAAGTATTTGTTTGTCGTCTTTTAATAATCCCGACAAAACGCAATATAATGCGTGCTTATGTTCTCCTGAGTAACCACGCACGGAAATGTTTGGAAAGAAAATTTTTTTATGCATACATTTGAATCTATATACATAGGTATATATTTTATATATTAGGTTGGTTTGTTTTTTATTTTTTTTTTTGTCGTCAAAGTCTGTGTCAAATATAGTTATTGATTTCCATTCGAGCTCGAAGGCTTTTTTGTAATTAAATATAATTTATTTCCAGCCGGAACGAAAGAATATGAATGACAAAGCGATTGGCGGCTAATTTAAATTAATAAAAATTGGTTCAAACCCAGAAATTCCGTCTTCGATTTTATTTGACAAATACAACCTTTTGCACCAACCTAATATGTATATCAAAAAATACACTCCAGGAAAAAACTTCCAGATTTCACGTTTAGTATATGTTACAAAATTCTTGTTGTCATTACGCGAAAAAAGATCGTTCGATAACCAGGACACTTCGACAATTTCCGCGTGGAAAAAAAGAAATCGCGCTTCTAACTCTACATTTTACTCTGTTTCAAAACTACACTAATTGTAATTAAAAGACGATCCGGATATAATAATAATAATCTATTCCGAATTTAATTCTCGCGATAATTACGGAGATAGGGAGAGAACTGTGTAGCTTTACTTTGATTCTTCCAATTGGTAAGATTTAGATGGATAGGCGGATAGTGGAGAGCAGGCTATAAAGTAGAACTATAGAGGGAGGACGAGGGTGAGCGGTGGCGGAAGGGAAGGACTGGCGTGGGAGGAAGATGGCTATATCGCGGCTCGGAAAATCGATGTTCAAATGCGCCATCACGTGATTACGTCCACCGAGCGCGAGCGTTATCTCGCTCTGTGTAATAATGCGAAGCGCGATTATTTGCGACGACGACGATGACGAGAGGAGCGAGCGAAAGAGAGAATCTCGTTCGTTTGAGGTGGGAAACGAAGGGGGCAAGTATTACGGATGAAAAGGATGGGAGGTCGTTTCCTTATCGACGCTATGCTGACGTATACTTAAGCCAGCTAATTAATGACGCGTACATGGATCGATTATGGTCGCTGCCGGTTGTTGCGGAAAGTGCAATTCGCTTCCTTCAAGGGGCGGGGAGGGAGAAGGAAAGGAGAAACATAGGATTACATAGTAGCCGGTAGAGATGAGCCGCGCGATTCGCTTGGGCGTCTCGTGACTTTGATCTAAACAGCGTTGTCGTTTTTTTTTCTTCATCGTTTGACGACCTTGATAAAGAGAGGTCTTCATCCAAAGCTCTTTATGACGTCGAAATCGTAAAACCGTTAGCAAACGCACATCGCTCGGGTCGTACAGATGGCCAGTCAACACAATCAAGCGGGTCGTTTATCGATCTTTTATGACTTATGACGTAAACTCAGCATGCGAATTTTTCACGTTGAAAGTAACGATCGATAAACGGCACGTGTCTCGTGCCGGACTCATTTTTCGATCGAGTTTCCTCGCAACAACGTATAATCTTGTTGAAGATTTCGTAATCTTTTTCCAATTTCTTCTCCAGGGAATATTTGGCGATCACGAAAAGAGTTTTCACGCGTGATTTAATTATCCGCCCGATTTCAAATTTGTTTCTATTTTCCTTTTCTTATTAAATTGTTTCGATATCGAGATAAATTGATTTCTCGCCGCGGTGGCACAAATTCGAAAAGTGGCTGAAATCTCTTAATTTATAGAAGAAAAAGAGAGAGAAAGGGTTTTGCTGTGATCGATTGTTTGAATTATCGGTGAACACGGATGTATGTGTATGTGTGTGTATATGTGTGTGTGTGTATATGTGTGTGTGTATATGTGTGTGTGTATATGTGTGTGTGTGTACATGTGTGTGTGTGTATGGGATGCGCGCATGCATACGGAAGAAACGAAAAAGGATACCGGTCCGAGGAGACGGGCATAGTTCGCGTTGTGTTCGGATACGAGCGCGTCGCGAGATGAACGTGTTCGCGAGAAGAGAAGAGAACGGGTGTTGTTCGGTTGTTGGTTGATGTGTGGTGACACCTGCCGCTATTGGTGGGGGACTGCGCACAGGGGGTCGCGGAATAACCGGAAGTTACCCTCTGCTGGCAGTCTCCCCGCTTCCTCGTTCGTCGAACGAAATTCGTGACCGGACGCCGAACCTGATGGAATCGTCTTTCTTTTCTAGGAAAATGTTCATCGGCGGCCTGTCTTGGCAGACCAGTCCAGGTATGTGGCAAAAATGTGTTAATGGTAGCGAATTAAACTGTCTCCACTCAAAACAGAGGAAAAAGTTTTACGCGTGTATTTATTATATATATATATATATATACTAAAAAGCGATAGAGACGAGACGAACGTCCTTACGTAGTTAAAGATTACCGCAAGTTAAAGAGTACCGCAATTTTTTCTTTCTTTGAAAGAGAAAATAACAAGTAATGATACAGTAAGTTGTTAACACACACTCAAACGACGTGCAGACACGTCTCTTGATTTTATTTTTCAACGCAGTTCTCTTTGTTGTGACACAAAATAAATGATTGAAAGTGCATTTCTGCAATGTCGCGGTCGTATGATAATAATGAAGGAGAAACCTGAAGAACAGCGGATATCAATTCTTCTCCTCTGTTTCGTGATGTTCAGTAAACTTTGTTACGTTGACAGGCACAAATACGTACATATATATACATATATATATACACACACACACACGCACACACATATACATACACACAAACAAAACGGTAATGATATACGATACGTCGCGTAATGATACTGCGCAGAGAGGAAGCACGTTACGAAACGGACAAATGGAGATGCTCAGAAACCGCGCGCTCTCGTATTTCGTATATAACATTTATGATAATCGTTCGGTTGTATTCGGTGGTTTTCTTGCAATAACTTACCGCGGGTTTATATTACGTCCGACTCGAAATGTAAATTCGAAGACGGTAGCTTTGTAACAAGTGCGCGCTCGTTACAAAGACAGAATATGTGGTGTGTGGCGCGCACTCTCTTACGTGCTCTTATTGAAATATCACGTATGGATATCGTTCTCATTTTTAAAAATAATAAATAAAATCAAATACGTAGATTGATCGATATGAATGATGACGATTACGAGAACTATGGGAACTTTTGATACGTGTTTTTTTTTTTTTAGCAATGGTTTTTTCCCCGAGGAAAACTTTTCACGTGAAAGAATGTGAGGCGCGAACTCTCATTAGCGTTATTTGCTGTTGTTACATAAGTCGTCTCTTCATCTCGCTCGTGTTTCTCTCGCTCGCGCGTTCTCTGCCCCGCTTTTCGCGCGTCACAATTCGCTCGCACACCAATTCCCTGCAAACCAATTCGTCGTACACAGGATGTAGACGAATAACTTTTTTTTCCATTTTGTTTTTTTTTTTTTTTTTTTTTTTTTATAAACTTGACGTAGGTTGGTACACGTAACTTTTCGAGCGTAACATGAGGTCCGTGAAATCTCTGCGTGACGTATTATGAGCGACGATGAAAGACCATGTAACACGAATGAATATCCATCCCAACTTTTGTTTTCATTTGCATTCCCGTCGTCGTGGTTTGAAAGGGCTGTGCAATTAATTGCATCGAAATGAGGTCAGCGCGGTTAAGATTCTCAACGGATCCCCCGACGCGCTTTATGTCGCAAAATAAAGCACCGCAGAAACCGTGTTTTGTTTACCGAGTTACTTGTATTGAATTTGTTGTTGTCTGTAGATGTGTTATAATCGCCGTAACAGATTTTCGCCAAGTAAATCGTCGTCTCTTTACATCCCTCAAGCGGAAAATGTTCATTTGACGTTGTTGCAGAGTTCGTGTATCTTGCGCGCTTCTGTTTCCTCTCTCTTTTTTTCTTTCTCGTCTAGTTAGCGCAACGAGGTCAACTCTGCTAATCAACTGTTGTGCTAATTAGTCGAATATTTTCGTTCATTTGTATGACGAATCAAATCCTAGTTTATCCGCATTAATGGAAAATATTTTCCACGCAATTCGATAAACATTAATGATTAATTTGTCCGGCCAAAGTGGCGAGAGGTCTATCTACGCAATTAATTTAATTCACGTAATAATTCTAAACAATTCATAGATTATCCTATCTATATTTATAATGCGATCTGCATTTATAATATATTATCCTTCCTCAATATGATTGATTCTGTATCCAATTATTCAGACAGTTCGGTCACAGAATGGATAAATGAGGAATATCGCGGTTTATTAATTATACAATACTATTGGTGTGTGATTGTTACCGGAATGATGTAGCCACTAACGAGATATCTCTGTGTGTCTTGTGTTATATTTAAAATTACAAGCGTCGTAAAAGCCTCTTTGATGGTGAGAGCGTTCCGAAATTTGTGGTTTCGTAGGAGCACTGTGTTTTCCTAACAGGCGCCACGACATCTTCGGCGATTCAAACGTTAGACTGACGCTTTGGGACCGGTCCAGAGGTTGTTAAAACAATGTACACCACCTACACGGAGGAGCTTACAAGCGCGCGTGCACGTCAGTTTACACTTGATTTTCGTCGCCCTCGCCTCGAGTTAATGTACGAGGTTTACAACTGCAACAACTGAGAAATTGCGGTTCAAACCACATCAACGCGCTTATAACGCTCGTTCGCGATTCATAGCGATTCCCGAAATATATCTGCATAAAAGTAATTTCCTTTCGAATCTTACTTTTTATTGAACCAAAAAAAAAAAAAAAAAAACAAACAAACACTTTACGAGTAATAAAAACATCTGCGAAGAATAGCCAAGTAATTTATTATCGAAGACGAAATTATTTTTAAATCTCCTAAACAATCTGTATAGAATAAAAATGAAATTTAAAGCGAATTTTTTTCTATTTTACAGTATATTTTTGTTTTACAATTTATCAAGAAATTTATATAAAACGCAATGCGCGAAAGATTGGCATAAATGTAACGTTTATTCGAATCAAATCTTCTCGTTAAATGAGTTTTAATGAAAAACAAAAGTGTAACATCGCGTAATATATATATATAACGATGGTTTAACATTGACCCTTTTGCATCGGGGGAGTGGGGTGAGATTAACGCTAATGGATATGTTAAACATGAACGAGCACACTATCGGCTCTTGCAGCCGTGGCAAGTCGATCGCAAAGTGCAGACAAGCGAAATCTCTGACGTTTCCTTGTCGTCGTTGTCGTTGTTCTCTTTGTCGTCGTCGTCGTCATCGTCGTCGTCGTCGTTGTTGTCGTCTTCGTCGTCCGTCGTCGTCGCCGCTGCCGCCGTCGCGGTAGCTTCCTCTGTCGCTTCATCCATCCGCTTCGTTGTCCTCGTAGTGGTGTCTGATGCAATCGAGCGCAACAGACTCTACTCTCGACTCTCTCGCTATTTTTAAACGTAATTGCACCCGGCCGTTTTAATAGGCGACCAGGCGTAGTTTGACGGAGATAGAGAGACGCACAAACCGGCATGGAGAAACACCGGCAAAAATTCGTTTGGCGAATTTTCGTCAAGCACGTTGATTCGAAGATCTCGAAGAAATGGACAAACACATTAATATTTTATTGCGCGCAAACACACATGCGCGCGCGCGCGCGTGTCACTTACGGAATAATAATTCAGCAAGTCGGGAGGATTCTCTCGAATAAGATCTTCTAAATACATAAATACACGCGCGCGCGTGCGCGCGCAAAATGTATACTCGAGATACATCGCAAAGTGAACTAAAAATGTCATGGATTGTCGTTTGAAACGAGATGCTCGCGTGTAAATATCGCGACTTCGGGGCGACCGAAGCACGATATATACCGCTTTCGTTCGGTCAATTTGCCAATATCGATCGCGTTTTCTCGGTATTTGAAAAAGATGACCGGGAGAATCGATGTTTAAGTAACATAAATTATGCACACTCTCTCTCCCCGGCGATAAGATCACAATGACGAAGTTTGTCACGCGGCGCTCCGCGTGCGCGCGAGAGTTTAATGTGGGGCGAAACGAGACGTCAGTCGATTAGTCACGGAACACACCGCCGTCGTCATCCCGAACAACGTCAATTAGTACCATACTAAAGCGGATTATAAATAGTTGTGTTAGGTAGGTCTGGGTTGTGTGTGAATTGTGTGCGAGCGCGCGAAACAAGCCTTTAAGTCGCGCGCAGATTGTAAGCGCAAATGATGTATGTGGATTAACGCGCGCTGCTATTCGCACGTATGTACTCTTCGTCTAATTTTCTTTGACGATAATTGAGAGAAATGTTATTCGCAAATTAATGGATGTGTCAGTCTCGCTTTATGACCGTAGGCGTTTTTCTGTAGCCATTAACTTTAACGGCGCTATTTTTTTTTGTCGCAAAACAAGTGCACATCGATGCTTCTCTCTCTCTCTCTCTCTGTCTCTCTTTCTCTACAAATTTCTGTTAACACGGTTGTGAGGGCCGTTGATCAAGAGAAACGGGCGGTACATAATTTCGAACATCGTTGTATGTATTCCGCAACATTTCCGCGTGTAGATCCTCGTTCGAACGGGAACGGATGGGTCGGTGGCAACGACGCCGGTATAAGCGCGGTTTTGAATATGTATGCACCGGCAGTCGTTCGCACGGTCGACGAACACTCTTATCCGCGAGCATCTCGTTTTGCCGGCTCGCGGATCTCGAACAAGAGGCGCCTTGTGCCGATACGCATACGTTAGAAAGAATCTCATAACAGTCGGTGCGCCTCTTTCCCTTATCGGGCAAACCGTCGTCACGATCGTGCTTCCTCTTTTTTCCTCCTTCTTCCATCCTTCTTTTCCCGCGCGCGGCTTTGTGTACGCATCGGCGAGAGAGAGAGAGAGAGATAAGCCGTAGATAAAAAAGAAGCAACTGATACAAGCAATTGTCGCACAGACAAATTTAGAGAAAAAACTCTATACACTAATAATAATTAGCGAGATCTAATTTGTGTAAGATAAAACACACGATAAAAATTTGTGAAAATCAACGAAAAGAAATTCACAGATCGTCGCTGACCTGATATATTACACGTCTCCCCGAATCAATTCAGATAAGCGCTGTCCGCGTTACATACTGTCTGACCAAACAGTGATATCGTCATTTTTCCATTATGCACTTTGACTTTCAACTGATAATATGTTACCTAAGAGTTTAAATATTTATAAATTTTTAATATTATATATAGTATATGCTTCACACATATACATATACATATATAGACGGTCGACAAGAGATATGAGA